CCCGGTCGGTATGTTTACCGGCCAGTACATCCTCCCCCCTTGTTTGGAATCCCCTCTTTTAAAGAAGGATGCTTCATTACAAAATACTTAACACCAGATTACCTCGAATCATTCGACAAAATAAACTGTTAACCTTATACATAGGATTATATCGAACTTTGAATACACACACCTTAACATTAAAAGTTTTGTACGCATCTAAATACCTAAACGGTCGGGTCTCTTACTAACGCGACCACTTCTGGTGACAGTGGCCTCTGACTCGCGGGCTTTCTGCTTACGAAGAGGAGGAACAATATTACTCTTTGAATTGCATTTCCTCGCCTTTTCCTCTAAGTCTTTCGCGAAATCTGCCTCCTCTTGGGAAATTTCTAACGGATAAATCCTCTGTATGGGTCTTTTCAGAACACCCTTTTTGGTTTTCAAGACAATAACTCTTCCTTGACCATCTCGCCCTGTAATTATATCTACGACTCGTGCAAGAGGCCAATCCATCCGTTTACGCGTATTATCGCCAATCAGAACGACGTCGCCGACTCTCAGTATACGGGATTCTTTCTTTCCGCTCTTTAACAGCAGTTGCCCTAGATACTCGATACGAAATCTTTTGCGAAGATCTTCGAAAATCTTCTGCCTGTATTTGAACCTTTTGCTCAGTTTTGTTCGATAAAGCATGTCACAGTCTGGAACTCCATACTCGCGAATTTCTTGTAAAAACATCGATGGTGATAAAGGCTTGAGATCATCGGGATCTGCTGATATATAGGTAAGAGGGCGACTGTTGATGATTGCTTCCGCATCGCATAAGATGGTGTACAGACCTTCGTAGGAAAAACACGCTTTACCTAAGATTTTCTTCAGTAATGTCTTTAAAATCCCTATTAACCTCTCCCACCAACCACCCCACCACGGTGCTGCTGGGGGGTTGAAATACCATTCAATCTGTACAGCTGAAGTGTGTTTACTAATTTTAGCCCAATCTAACTTATTTAAAGCATTAGCGGCGCCCGTAAAATTAGTCCCGTTATCGCTATATATGGTGCGTGGCCGACCGCGTCTTGCTATAAACCTGCGTAAACATTCCAAAAAACCTAGGGTGGATAGCGTTGATACTAGCTCAAAGTGGACTGCTCTGTACACGGCACAAGTAAAAATACAAATCCATCCCTTCCCTCCCCCCCGCACAAGTAGTGGTCCAGCGAAATCTACACCCACAATTTCGAAAACTAAAGCGTCGCGGATGCGATTGACAGGCAAGGGGGGGGCTTCGCTTTCCATACGTTTCACTCTTTGTTTCTTGCAAATTATACAGCTTGCTATGACTGATCTTATTGCTTTCCGGAGAGAAATTATCCAAAATCTTTCACGCAAATTAGCCATAACTATTTGTGCTCCCGCATGGCCCATGGTTTCATGATATTCTCGAACTAGCATGTAAATAATATCATGGTCATTTTGTAAAAGGATGGGACACAGAAAATTATGGTCATCTGTTCGATTGAAAATTTTAGTTTTCAGAACATACAGATCGTCTTCGTTTTTCATTGTTTTGAAAGACGACAACTTATTTTTAGATATGGTCCCGAAATTACTGTCTTGTAAGTATTTGAATAGTCTGATTTCCGATGCTCTTATTTCCGCAAAAGTTAAACGTAGTCTTCTCCGTTCTGTTCCCGTTGAATGAGCCGTTTTACGCGTTTCACGGTTGTCACCTTTTAGACCTTTTCTGTTACCACCTTCTCTTTTACAGTTTGTAAAAAATCTATGCATCCACGCGAGAAATCGGATGAGCTTAGTATATGATGAAAAATAATTGCGAGCCTTAAAATCGGAGTTTTCCGCGTCGACCAGATGTACCAAAACCGATTTTCTAGTTTCTTTTCTTATCTCCTCTTCATCGCAACACTGATTTACCACGGGCCAGTCGGGTTCCGCTTCGTAGAGCCACTTCGGACCCAACCACCATTCGGATTGCACTAGCTGCGAAGGCCTGCACCCACGCGACGGAAGATCCGCGGGGTTTAACTCTCCGGGTACGTATCGCCAATCGTCTTGTTCGCTGAGCGAACGAATCTCTCGCACCCGGTTCCAAACAAACGTACCCCATTGACTATCACACTCGATCCACGCTAAAACGGTGGTTGAGTCTGACCAGAACGTTCTTTTCTCGACTTTACGTGTCAAAGACTTGGTTACCGAATCCGCGAGTCTGACTGAAATAGTAGCCGCCATTAACTCGAGACGTGGGATCGTGGCCTTTTGAGGTGCGATGCGCGACCTAGCACTTAAAAGCCCAACTCTTATCGTGTCTCCGTACTCTATTCTTGCAAAAACGGCCGCGGCGTACGCCAACCCACTCGCGTCACAAAACGTATGTAATGTCAACTTTCCTTCCCCAAGCTTTCGGGGGATAGCGATCCGATTTAGCATAGGTAAATCGTTCAACCAACCTCTAAATTTATCGGCTCGACTATCTTCGATTTTCTCGTCCCAGTCTATTTTCTCTTTCCAGAGTTCCCTGAGCAGTGACTTTGGTAGCAAAGACGCAGGGCACGTAAACCCAATAGGATCGAAAACTTTGTGCGTCGCCGAGAGGATCGTTCTTTTGGACACGATATCGGGCCCCTTTAACTTCAACATGTCCGGATTGATCGATATAGTGTCTCTTCCTTTATCCCACCGAATGCCTAACACGAGACTCGACTCATTTTTTGTTGAATCAACAGAACTTTCCCAACCGCGCAACTCAAAACCGTCAGTCGCCATGATCGACGTAGCTGCTTGAACAAATTCTTTCAATTCGTCTTCCGAATTTACGCTGGTAACACAATTGTCGACGTAAAATGAGCCTTTTAATTTTTCTATCGTATTTCTCATTCCCTTTTCCTTATCTGCGTATGTCGATAAATGTAGCTCGATAATAGCCGCTAATAGGAAGGGACTACATGCCAAACCGAAAACTACTCGACAATGACGGAAAACTACAACCTCATCGTCTACGATCCAAAAGAAACGTAAATAATCGCGATCATTTTTGTCTATCACTATTTGCAAAAATGCCTTTTTAATATCCGATACAACTCCAATCTTTCCCTCTCGAAATCTATTTAAAGACGACGGCACTATCTCGATCAAATTGGGTCCCGTTTCGAGGCACTGATTCAATGACGGATAACCCTTTTTACATGCCGAAGCGTCGAATACCGGTCTTAACTTTGTCGTGCCATGCGCCTTTACCACCGGGCGATGTGGCAAATAATGACTCGACTTGTTACTTTCTTCATCGAGGACTCTCTCGATGATCCCGTCCGCTAACCATTCCCTAAAAACACTGTCGTATTTCTCGAAAAGATCTTTTGTCTTAAGCCTCTCAACGCATTTCTTGAACCTATTGCTCGCGATATCATAATTGTCGGAGATCGGCGCGTGATCTTCTACCCATGGCAATTTAACCTCGTACCGACCATCCCGGTTCAACCTGGCTGTTTCTTTCAAGAGCTCTCGTGTTCGTTCATTTCTTGTCAATTCGTCGGTTTTCTCGATCGGATCGGCGATACCGAGAACATCTAGACGCCACAATTTTGATGGATCGGCCTCCTGCACAAACAGCGTCGTAATCATTGCCGTAACGTCAGATCCATGGGTCGTTTTTGGCAATTTTCCCATTACAGTCCAACCTAAAAGAGTTTCAAAGGCAGTCAATTCGTTCTTCAACGTATATTTTTGACCGGTCATCAATTTTCCGGCTACATCCGCACCGATAAGGATATCTATGGGGCTACACTTATCTCCTACATCGGACAAATTAATATTATTAGCACGTAATTCCTCAATCCAAGTATCGTTTTTTACGCTTGGAATGGTACCGCAGATTGTGTCTTGACTCATCGCCGAGAAAGAGCAAGTATACTAACTATTAAGATTCTTTAAACGTATCCGGAACATATCATGCTTCTCGCTCTTGGATTTGACTCCACCGAATAAAGAGTGCGTCACTTCGAGTTCCCCTTGAGAAACATAACCTACTTCTCTAGCAACATCGGTGCGGATGTAAGAGTGTTGCGACGCTGTATCAATGACCGCTCGTACAATTCTCTCGCGCGACCCTGAGACTAATTTTACACGGAGCGTTTGTAAGTAAATATCATGCGTTTCGCAAAACGTGGTTAAATTGTGGTCATCTACTGCTTTTTCGTTAACGTCCGGTTTGTTCGTGGAAACTTTATCTTTACGTAATATGTCCGGGCACATCAATAAAACGTGGCGTCTCGTACACCAGCTGCACTTGACTTTGCTTCTACACCTTTGTGCTACATGGCCGCGTATCAAACAATTAAAACAGCAATTTTCCTTTTCGACCATATCTTTCCGTTCCTCTAAGGTTAACTTACGTGCGCTTTCGCAAACCTGACTTTCGTGACTCGCTTTACAAAAAACGCAGACTGACTTCCTCTGTTCCTTCGCAACGAGAAGAACACTAGCGCTGGCCTCATCCTTTGACGATTCCGCTTTGCCCTTTGCTTTCTTTGTCTTCTCTGCCTCCGTCGATAAGCCAAAACCAGACAACGCCATGTCGATGCGCTCCTCGTTCTCAACTTCCAGTTGCAGAAATTTGAGCAGTTTTGCTAGCCGGTCCGTTGTTTCTCGCTGTCCATTGGCTTCCGTCGTATCTCGCTGTCCGTTGCGTTGCCACGCCCGCAGGACCTCTTCCGGAAGGGACGACTCGACCAATGGATACAACATGGCCGCGCACCTGTCCGTCGTTATGCCGAGTGTCTCCAGCGCCCGTATATAGCACTCGATCTTGTCATATATGTTCTGCAGCGTCGGCTTCTTACCTCCTTTTACTGCGTTTTGCAG